TACTTCACTACAATGAAGTCTAAATCATTACAATATTTTCAACTTATAAACTCCGAAGCGCAACGGAAATACGTGAATTCATCTATAAATATAATTAAAAAATGAGGTTTCACCCCTCTCTTAATCATAACTAGCAAAGATATTCAAGTGGACTATAAAGAAGCTTAGCTCTTGTAATCCTTGAATTGTTTTCACAATTCAAAACCTCAAATCATTGCACAAACATCCATATTTTTAATAATAATTATCACTATAAGTACGAATAGAATTATCATGAATAAGTCTAAGTTAGGACCACTATTAGAAGAACAACAAGATCAAGTTTTAAGGTGTCTTTGATACTATCGTAATATCAAATATGAGGTTAGTTTCTCCACTTTGAAATATTGGGTCGCATGTCAAGTAAACTTCCTTTTCATCATCATTGTTGGTATATATATATTTTTCACCGAGTCAAAAGTAGACAATAAACTAAAGACACTATCCCTCATTTGTTCGAGCTTATTTGCATAACTTTGATGAGGAGCTCATTGTAATCATATGATAGTTAACATCATTCAGTATGTGGTTTTGGAACATATTGACATTAGTTTTGATTAAACCCCCATTTGACTCCCATTAAATTACATACCATCATTCTATGAAAAGACACGTAATTGATTCCATGGCTATAATTACTCCACCAAACACACCTCAACATTCTCCGTGGAAAAATACAATTTTGAATCTATCATCAATTAATTGAATCCATTGCTATAATCAATCCATTAAACAAGCTTGAACAGTCCATGTTATCTTTCCCAAAAAATCCCCAAATCGGAGTCTTATTTGGTAGAAAAACAAAAAATTACCACTGATTTGAAGAATTTCCCCTTCAATCACATTCACAACTTTCTTCACATCCAAATCTAGGTGCCAACAAATTGATAACCATGTTGAGATTTCACATATATCCGATTACTCTGCAATTATGGAATCGCTAATAGCTGTGAATAAATTTTACATTTTAACCTGAAAATCATATAAATCCCTCTTTTATCATATGAAGATATCAAAATCAGCAATTCACACTGAGATAATTGGCGACTTTCCAGTTTCTATATTAACCTTAATAGTTGTATAGATATTTCAACACAGCCCTCTTTGAAAAAGTAAATATCTAGACTTATTTCCTACATCTCCAATAGCTTTAAATTGAAAAATGGAAACACTAAATCGGTGTTCAACATTAGGTTCAAGCAAGAACAAACAACCAATCGGAGGTTCACAACTAGTTGCTAACCGTCACACTTTTTGTTAATGGGTTCAGATAGGAACGAAAATAGGGATGAAGATACCAACCAAAAATCTTTGGGTTCCATATGGAACAGTCAGGCCTGAGAAGGTTCGAAGTTATTGGAAATTATTGATCCTAAATAGGAAGATACATGACTCCACATCTTATAACCCATTCGATAATGATTTTGTCCGACTCAAAGAGAAGGCTCGATGGATCCCCTGTTATTTGGGATAGAGGAAATGGTTGCATGCAATTAGCAATATTTCCTGAAGGAATAACAATGCTGAGAAGCAAATAGATAATGTAGTTGCGGAATCGAACTCCAAGAAAAAGAAAATGGTGCTACATAAACCCTCACACATTAATGGCAGTAGTTATGTATGCTAATTCAAATGTTCACTATTTAAATGACATCTATGAACTAAAACAACTTAAAATCCCATAAGCATACATGGCAGCTTTCACAGATTTTATTATCGCATTTTTTATATTACATTTGGTATCACCCCATAGCCATCAATTATTTATGCACTTGTGGATGCATATTGATCATTACCAATTTAGCCCCTGTTTGGTTCTGATCTTTCATCCCGCAAAATTAATTTTTTTGATTGTTACTTCTCTAAATCGGCCAATATTTTTTACTTCTTCACTCACAGGTAGGACCCATCTTTCTCTCTAACGGTCAAAAAATCAATTCTTATAATCACTACAGAACAAACCCTCAATATGCACAACATTGTCTTAACCTGTCCATGCATAATCTACCGAAATATCCAACTGATTAACGAACATGTATGTAATTTTGTATGGAAATGTTTGATGGATCACTGAACAAATGCATAATCACATTCATACGTATTAATATCTAAAATGGAATGAACATACATGCATGTACATCAATACCATATCATTGAAGTATGTTGTCACGTTGACATTTCCATTTTGCATCTACAATTGTTCAACATCCCTTTTCTTAAAATGCTAGAAATTATGACAGTACTCAACCTATACATTGCAAGAGTTGTAGGAATTAATGGTTTATATACCTTTGTAGTGTTATTTAAAAGCATTCCTAACAACATACCTCCTCGAAAATGTGCACAAATACGCACAATAGAAAAGGATATATAAATTCGGGGCCAAAACACAGATTACATATCATGCATTACAACTTACAGTTAAAAAACAGTTTCAGGCAATCTTATAAAAAATGAAACATGATAGTATATTACATATCAGGTATGAGGCATGATAGTATATTAGATATGNACAGTTTCAGGCAATCTTATAAAAAATGAAACATGATAGTATATTACATATCAGGTATGAGGCATGATAGTATATTAGATATGAGTCACAGAATAAGAATTAAGTAGAAGGATAGTGAAATTTTGAAAATAGATGCGAGTATCATGTGACTTAAAACTTATGCTTAAGGGAAATCAAGAGAAGGTGCAGTTAACGATGGATCACTATAAATTATAAGCATCAAGAAAGTATTCAAGATCTAGAGTATAACATCATTCATCTTCTTTTCTTACTTGTTTTTCTTTTTAGATCAGTACATTATTCTCATATCTCAAACTTTGGTAATATACCATATATTTAAAGGAATAATGAACACATAAGTGACATGCGAAGCAATATAGAGTTAGAAGGGTGAAACTCGAGATTAGTGATAGTCCTATTACAAAGTCTCCGTGGATTTCGACTAGTCCAAAAATTTGAATAATTTATGCCCATTTCGATTTTTTGAATGATATTACAGTTTTTACTGTAAATCGGTAAAGAATTGATCTTTGGGATGTTTTTGTGATTTCTTTGGTAGATCATTCATGAGAGAATCAGCATTCACATAAATGGAAATTGCAAAAAAATTGGGGATTTTGATGATTGTTAAACGTATGTGAAGGGCATATTTGGTGGAGTAAACTAATTTGGCATGTTTAATGCAATAGAGGTTGGGTTGTTTTTTACATTTCATTTTTACCTATATTTTGTAGAGTAGCACAAAAAAAAAAAATTAAAAAATCACAATTGAACCGAACTCGTTGGTTTGAACCCATTTGTTCCAATCCATGTGGACCCGTCATTTTTTTCCTCAAACCGAACCAAACCATTTTAAAATGATTTGGTCTAGGTTTCGATTTTCAAAAACTGCACAAAAAGGAACCGAACAATTTTTTTAATTTTTAATTAGAAATTTAATTTTATTAAATTATAAATTTTACAATAATCACCTTCGAAAAAAATATACCAATTTAGCAATACAAATTACTACCGACCATTTGAAATAATCATATAAAGTAAATTATGTTTATCGTTACTAGCCCACGATTTTACAAGTGCACTACACTCGTCCTGACCCGATATTTAAACTATACTAAAATTACACCCAAATCATATGAAATGAACCAAAAAAGCATATAGTTTCATTGTTTGTACATCCTTCATTAAGTATTCATTATTTTCTTTACTCTCAGTCGGGTTAATTAATTTTTTGTCTCCATTGGTTGAAGTATTTAGAGCGCCTTTGGTTTGCCTGTTTTTAGTTTTCAAAAATGCCCAAAACACGTTTAGTCTGTCATTTCTGAAAATACATTTCCGAAAACAAAGAAAAATTTATAACTAAAAATTCAAAACGATTTTTTTTTTTTTTTGAGTATTTTCAGTTAAAAAACTCCGTGCAGAAAACGGTCAAAGCACATGTTTTTTCCAGGGGATGCAGCAGTACTTTTAAAATAAAATGTTGTAATCCGATACAATTTAGTAAAGTATAATCATTTTAAAACCCACAAGGTTTTTCAATTTCCATTTTTTTTTTTCATTGATCGAAATTTTTTATCGTTCCGCACAAGCAATATTTTCCTTAGAAAGTGAAAGATGGTACCATGAAGCAAGCGAAGGATTTCAACACGTTTCCACATTACCCTAAGATCGAATTTCAACCATGTAATTATTTCTCCATTGTTGGGTATCACCTTTGAAAATAAAACGAATGGTTTTGTGACATCTTAGACAGAGCCCCCCTAGAACAATTTTTGCCAACTATTTTGATTACCTTTACATTTTAAGAAAAGAATGCTTAGGTTGTTAACTATATTTCTTGAATTTAGATTTAATTTTTAAATAGGTTATTGAAATTAATACTTTTTCTTGCATCAAGTTCTAGAAAATTTTGGGGTAGCTAAATACTTATCCTTATTTTTCGAACAGGAATATTTGTACATTGAAGTTTATTAGGATAATATTCCTCCGTTTCATTTACATAAGCTTATTTTATTTTTCATAAACGGATTAAGAAATCTTATTTAATGTTATTGAAAAAGTTATTTTTGTCAATAAATTTCCTAGTTTACCCCCGTTTAATTTTCACTTCCCAACAACTAGTAGTAAATTATTGTTAAAATTAATACAGAATTTGAAAATTGATTTCAAGTAGTAGGCAAATTATTGGGAAATGTGCATATATTTGGACGATTTCAAGTAGTAGGCAAATTAAATTGGAAAAATTGATTGAAATTAGACACATTAAATAAGGGCATATTAGTAAAAGAACAAAACAAAATATTCTAAATTATAAAAAAAAAAAAAAAAAGACGATATATTTGGGACAAGAAAAAGGAAACTAAATCTATATAAATGAGATGAAGGGAATACTATTTAATATAACTATAATTATAACACCAATTTAGGTAGAACTAAATATCATTAAATCAAAGGTACAAGTATTAAATAATTCATATAATTTTACCTTTAATCGAACATATCAAATTAAGGTACGCAATCAGTGTAGGCATAGTTGAAAGTTTATTAAAGTGACCACACATAAACATAGCTGCATCCTTAAGGTATCAAATCAAGCATACAGTGCTGTTGAAGCCCCACAGCACATTATTACTACAACATACATGATGATAGTAAGTCCGAATAAGGGAACTCCCATCTCCTTCCACCAACTGGCGTAATCAACACAAACTCAGCACGGCAGGTCCTCGTATCCTAGACACAATTCAATAATAACATAATTGGCAATAAAATAATTGAACAGTGACAATTAAGTCGAGTTATGAAATTATCTGAGCAACTATTTCTTATATTATATATTGATAAAATGGTGCAAAAGAGTGGTCATCAACACGTGGATTAAATAATGTACCGATTAAAATCTGCATGAAATCATAATCTTTACGTCATGTTGAGAGACTTACGGTGAGGAACAATCTTCCACCGCTGATTTTCTCCCTTTTTCCATTCCCATAGAACAATAATAGTGCCATCATGGACGCCGCCATGATTTTTATCTCCATTTAAAGCATCTACATTTAGGCGAATATTATTAACCATCCTTATGGTTCTGTAACCATCACCCAAGTCTTTGCTCTCGGTCCACAAAATTGACTCATCAAGAACATCAGAATTGTAAGGAATCAATTGCACCTGAACAAGAAACCCCCCACAAATGACACAGTGAGAAACAATTTCTCCTCGAGGAGAGACCAAATTATGGTGGTGACTTTTCATTTTATCTTTTTTACTTTGTGACTTTTAAAGGGGAAGCAGGGGATTGGACATTTGAAGGGGGAGGGGATTGATATGTGCAAAACAAAGACTGCCCCACAATCGAAATCAGCCAACTAAGGACTGTGAAGAATCATATAATTGTTAACCTATTCCATACAAGTCTATGATCCATATCATACTCACAACAAATCAAATGAATTCTCAGTTCCAAAATACACTTTTATTCGTGCCAAAGCATAATTAAACTTGACCATGAAAAGCCAATGCAATCTAAATCTCCACCAAAGATACATGGTGCAGCTTAAGAGTGTGCCAACTTGTATCAATAGGTAAAATTTACCATTTCCCTCATTCAACATTTATATTCATACAGCGTGTGGAAGGGGTTAACAATGAGGAAGTTCTGCCTTGTGCAGAGAAATCACAGAGCTATCAGTTCTCAGTGACATTAGCTTTGCCAAATTAAAAGAGACCTAAATAGCTTGTAGCAGTGGAATGATGTGCAAGGATTTGAAATCATGCTATGAGTTAGGTTTGTCTTTTTCATATAAACTGCAGTTTAGAAGAATCAAGCAACAGAGAGTGGCCTAGACAATGTTTTCTCTTTCAGCTTTACGATTTTCCTTCACAGGATTGTGGAAATTTCAAAAGCATTTGGTACTTTCAAAAGCAAAATGCTAGCAAGTAATTTGACGGTGAGCAAGAAGGGTTATTAAATTTCAGTCATTTATATTAGACGTAACGTAGAACTCATAATTTTTGTATTGCTTCAATTAATTGGAGACTTCGTATTAGATTTCATATTTTCGTACCTAGCTGTTGTATGGACAGTATAAACAAAGCAAATCTTTGATTGCTTGGAACATTCTATCATTAGTTCGGATGAACTCACAGTTAGTTTCTTTGGTTCTCAATTTGTACAGTACCATACTTGGCATCACAACATAATAATATTATCATTTACAACAAAGTAGCCTCGAAATCAGCATCAAACCCTCACATATGCCTACTTCCATAGAGCTTAGTTAATGAATGAACAACCCCTATAAAAAAGACAAACACCATAGAAAAAGCACCCATTTTGGTGCCTGACTATTACCATTCACTTTTTATAGGAACCTGTAACTGAATGAGTTTCCATCAGCTTCAGATGCCATCTCTCTTGGCCGAGAAACCCCAAACAACCATAGCATTATTGCACCCATAACGTCCAAATGAAACATATGGAACTAGTTGTCCATGTTTTGGAAAAAACACTGGAAGATAGTTATCTTGTTGCTAACACTGAGTGATTACTAAAATGCATCAAGACAACTTTTTTTTATCTTGAAGCACACTTCACAAAAGCCTACTCAACGCGAATTATTTTTTATTTTGCCAAACGTTCCAAGGAGCTCTCGAGATTGAACTAAAAGAGAGGAAAATAAACTTATGCTGTGTTTGGATAATTTTATCCAGGAAGAAAGATATATACGGACTGATGCTAAACGTGAAAACAAACAAAAATTAACGCACTGATCAACAGATAAAAGAGTGAACATACAGGATGTGTGGCTCCAGTTGAGTGCTTAATCGCCTGCCCAGTGGCTTTATTAATCAACGCAAAGCTAGGGAAACCTTGTTCGTCCTTGACTCTTGTGCTGAACTTCTCATCTTTGAACCAGTGCTGAAATAGCAAGATACACCACAAATGACAAACCGATCACTTTTAACTTGAATTGAAGAAAAAGACACAAGGGGATTGCAATTTTTGTAACAAAAGAACATACCTGAAATGGGTCTGATAGGTTGGAAGGGGCAAGGATAACCTTCCCATCTCGGATGGTCAAAGAGTAGTTAGTCTCCGCCTTAGAATAAACCCTAACAGAGGTTTTGTTAGCGAATTCAGAGCTGTGGTGATGGACAAACGAAGGGAGGTGGGGATGATGATGATGGTGGTGATGCGGATTGTTTTCGCTCTGATGAGAGACAACTGGAGGAGGCGGAGGATACCGTGGTCCCCCTATATGGGAGCTGTGATAGGGCGGCGGATTTTCACCGTAAAAGGGAGGCGGCGGCGGATTTTCACCGTAAAAGGGAGGCGGTGGTGCATCTTCCCCGTAAAAGGGAGGCGGGTATGGCCGCGGTGGAGGCGGTGGCGCATCTTCCCCGTAAAAGGGAGGCGGATATGGCCGCGGTGGAGGCGGTGGAGCATCTTCCCCATAAAAAGGAGGGGGGTGTGGTCGCGGTGGTGGGGGTGGCGGGTAATCTTCTTCTTCCCTATCTGGACCATGGTGTGAATGGCGATAGCCATGGGGGCGTTCCATTTCGACTTCCTATCTGCAAAGATTGGGGCTTTCTAGGTTTATGAAGCGTTGTTATGCCAGCTAACTGCGACTCGTTAAATTATACTTTTAGGACCTTCATTTTATTTCTATCAACAATTTGTTCAACCAATCTGTGAAATCAATGTAAAGTTTGTGTTTAATAAGTAAGCAAAATGTTTTAAAGGACTCAATTTAAAATTTCTAATAAACCTTGGGAGATTCGTTCATGGAATATAAAAGAAAAAGCATGGGTGTGGGCCTAACTCTTCGATACTACACTAGTGAGCTGTCACCCAATCAATGGCTTTTTCGTTGTCTGTCTCACTCAAGTGTTTGAAAATTGTACGCTGTATTGAGATTTTAGATATTTTAGAAATAGGACAAACACACCTGTGTCCCTCTAATTTGTATATCACAAACTTGTTTCTATTATAATGTTGTAATTTATAAATCATATGATTTTTTGGATGATTTCTATGGTGGAAAATTGGACGGAAAAGACACTGATGTTTCAGGATTATGATTCAGTGACTAGATTACAAATGGTGAAAAATATATTCTCAGTTGAGAATGTGACAATTCAAGATTATTTTAGTAATGAAACCAATCATCCAATTGTAAGAATTACGATATGTCGAGGACTCTGTGAAAATATTGTTGGAAAAAAAAAGAGAGTGAAAGGCTCATTTTTAGCAAAATTTTTGGTGGGATCCATTGGTCCAATTTGAAATATCAAAGTTGATTCGTGTTCTCCTTCGTGAGAGCATCAAAATCATATATTTACTTGCCAAAATTGATGAATGGATGAATGAAAAATTGGAGCTCAAAGATTACTATTGAAAGATGATTTATGTGGGAAAATAAAATTTGTCCCACATAGAAAAAAATGAAAGCAATAACCACTTTAAATATGGTTGCACATTAAAAGAGTGTAATCATCTGTAGCATAGAGACTCTCTCCACTTGCGTGCGCAAAGGGTGCAAATCACGGACCGAAATAACTTTCGGATCTTGAACTTGTATGCAAGCGCAACATGTGTACACGAATGTTAGACCGAACGGAGCAAAAATTCGCCCGTTTGGAATGTCCACGTTTTGCAATTTTTTTCTTACTTTCTCTAGTGACTTTTGAGTTCCTGAACAAGACTCCAAGAATCTGAAGTGACTCCAATATTTATTGTCATAGAATTGATGGTAGATTTGTCTATATAAGTTCTCATTCTCCAGAAATTCCAGAACACACACGAAAATAGGAGAAAAACATTATGCATATTTTTTTCTAGTCTACATCTCGATTTCTGTTCAGCGTCATCATTGTGGTGATATTGTTCGGATATTAGTCAGTTTGCTGGAATAGTATCTGTAGTGTTCAGGTTCTACAAATTTTTTACCGTTGTATCCTGAAAAATAGACGCCCGGATTAAATGTCAAGCACTTACGGTGAGAGAGAGAATCTGTTTTAGGGAAACTGTGCTCGCACAGGCTTTTAGTTGAAAGTTCATCCACTGTTTAATATTTATGTAATTTATTCGTTTGTTTTAGTTTTATTATATTATCGTTCTTTTTATGTTGTTTATTAAAATTAATCTGCTTTAATTTTTATTTATGTTAAAAATACAAATTTGAAGAAAAAAATATTTCTACAATTTCGGTATGTGAAATTTTACTGCAATATTAATCTGAAATTTCGATATGTGCAAAACTGATATGTGAAAATACGATATATATAAAATGGGTAAAATAATATGTTCAAATATCGTTAAAAGCATATACGGTAGGCTGAAAATATAGTAAGGTGCAAATACGATAAGTTGGCTACAAATACGGTAAGCTTCTTGCAAATACGGTAAACTGTATATACGGTATGCTTAAAATCAATATCTAAACTACATATACAGTATGCGATAATCTGATTTCATTTACACCACTAAATTCCAACAAATTTAAAACAGATTTCTAAGAAAAAAGTTGGTTTCTTATACTATTAATTTTAGAAACTAATTTTTTTGTTTGACTTTCAGAAATGGCAGCCGAATCGACCAACACGGATGTGATCCAAAATGTGCCGAAATCAGGTTGTGGACTCAGCTCAAGCTCTGTTGCGGCTCAGAATGGGGCTAAATTGCCAAGTCATGTGTTGAGTCAAACTGTAACTCCAACAAATGATCATACCGTTAATATTCTGGTTAATCATGGAGAAAAATGGAGAAATTCAATGGCTTAGATTTCAAAAGGTGGCAGCAGAAAATGCTATTTTATTTGACCACTTTAAATCTTACGAAATTCTTGACTGAAACTGTTCCAAAACTCAATCGGTGTGAGAGAGATGTTCAAGCAATCAATGCATTTGATATTTGGAATCGTTTGGATTTTCTGTGCCGAAACTATATTATAAACAGTTTAGCAGACACGCTATACAATGTGTATAGTACTATGAAAACTGTTAAAGAGTTGTGAGAATCGTTGGACCAAAAATATAAAACTGAGTATGCCAGAACTATAAAGTTTATTGTCGGCAGATTCTTAGACTATAAAATGGTGGACTCCAAAACAGTTATCAGTAAAGTGCAAGAATTCCAAGTGATTCTTCACAAAATTCATGCTGAATGGATGATTTTGAGTAAAACTTTTCAAGCGGCTGCAATTATTGAAAAATTGCCCCCCGCGTGGAAAGATTTCAAGAATTATTTTCAGTACAAACGAAAAGAAATGAACGTCGAAGAACTAATTGTTAAATTTTGAATTGAAGAAGACAATAAGAGTTCTAAGATGGAATTTCTAAGAAGAAATTTCAATGGAAATGTTTCAATTGTGACAAAGTAGGCCACGAGTTTTTGGAGTGCAGATTGTCAAAGAAGAAGAAAGAAGCAAATGTAGTTAACTACATGGCACAAGATGTGTCGGAACTGAATTTCTCAGCCGTCGTTTTCGAAGTGAACATGGTAGGTTCAAACCCTAAAGAGTGGTGGATTGATATCAGTGCTACGAGGTATATGTGCTCTGATAAGGAGCTGTTTACAACGTTCGAAGCAATTGAAAATAGGGAGAAGTTGTTCATGGAAAAGTCAACAACTTCTGAAATCAAAGATCAAGAAAATGTGGTTTTGAAGATGACATCGGGAAATGAGTTGACTCTCAACAATATGCTATATGTGTCGAAAATTTGGAAGAACCAAGTGTCCGGGTCGCTTTTGAATAAACATGATTTTCGCATTGTATTTGAGTCAGACAAAGTTATTTTGTTGAAAAGTGGAATATATGTCGAAAAATGTTATATTTCCGATGGTATGTTTAAGCTCAATGTAATGGTTGTTAAACAAAAAATGAATAAAGTAAACTCTTCTACTATTATGCTCTAAACGGTAACAAAAGATTTAACTTTTACTTATTAAAATTTTAGACTGATATTCTCTTAGGTTGGCATCATTTTGAATTTTCCTTCATTAATCCTATTTAGGAGTGTCTAGGCTAATATACCTTATTTTTGCAAAAACAATGGAAATTGTCCTATTTCATAAATACTGTGGTGGAAGCAAGCCAAATCATCGGAACTTGCATATCGAAATATTAGTTCTAAAGCATCCCCTATACATTCAACCACATTCTCAACACAAGTTCCTACAGATATACTTTTACTCGAAAACAAGGAAAAGAAAAATATGTGAAAATAAAATTACACACGCCTCATGTACAATTGTAAATTGATTCAGATTATAACCTCTATGAAGATTAAAAACTGTTCCATAGAATAGAAACCTCGACAATCAACAAATGAACCGATCAAAACCAGGCAAATCCCAATTGAAGGCACAGATCACATCATAACTCTTCTAGTAAACTTTCGTGAAACTATACACATCTGTAGAGGAACTTAAAGAAAATCCAGATTGAATACAAGACAACACATATACGAAAGAGCAGAAGACTTTGGCGCTGACAATCGTGCTGTTGCAGAATAAACAATTTCTGCTAATTCACTGAATACCATGTTTGCAGAAACTTACAGCTGGAGCAGTAAATAATAGTTCTTCCCAATAATTTTTACCCCTTAAAGCTATCACTGGAATAGAAATCAATGTGCTAGTTCTGAAAGCATTGTGTGCAAAAAGCCAAAAAATCTAGTTGCTAGAATGATAAATTTAACCACAAAATGTAATAGCAGGGAAGTTAAAAGATTTTGTGAGAAAATGAATCAATCGCTGACAGCACAAATTATAGCCACTGCTACATGGGAAATAATAAAAAATGAATCTTCTTCCACAGAAACACAAGAAGAAATAAGCAGCCACTGCTAGTGGATGAAAGAACAACGGTGAAGCTTTACCGATCAGAAACCAAGTAATGTAGTTAACCATGAATAGAATGCAGACATTCTGATCAATCACAGACATCTTGTGAAGAGGTTAAATTTTGGCCATTTTCGAAGTTGACAGAGATCTTTGCGTTCCACCTCCATTAGGTCTTAGTCAAAGTATTTCAACACACTCGATGAAGTCCATATTCATGTGTAGTTGGCTAAAATGTTTGAACTTAGTTGTATTTCACAGAAGAAAAATGTTACGTAATCAAAATACCTACTGCACAAGCTTAACTACTAAAGCTAGTAGTAGCTTCTATTTCAAGTTATTTGTTTCTCTCATTATAGTTGATGGCATGAAAAGATCCTTAGTTTCAGATAAGAATTCTGTAATTAATTACTATTCTCTAAAACATAGTTGCATCAACAATCATATAGAAATTAGTAACATTCAGCCCCTATTTGTCATTCATTTTCTCTCATTCTTTCCCATTATTTTTTCCACGGTACTCATTTTCAACCACACATTCTTCATTAAAATAATATTACACGTAAATCAAAAACATTTCCTTCTTTTTTAACCACACATTTCAACATCAATCACTATTCCATAATACATTCTTCCCAAATAATGGGTGACAAACACACCCTCAGTGTCACTCTCAAGCAAATAAGTAACAACAAATATTTTCTTGAATTCTAATAATGATTGAAAAGAATTCATTAGTTATTTTTGGTACTTTAACGGTTGGTTTCTATAGACTGAGAATTGCAGATAAGCCTTGACTCTTCTCCAAAGGACCATGTGAGTCCTATCAAACTTCTACTGCACTATTCAGTGTCTTAAGTATCTCCCATCAAATCTCAAAGCCAAACAAGAAGGTTTTGAGCTTCATTCTGCTCAAAAATTAGGGAGGTAACAAAAAATGAACAACTATCAAATGGATGGATTTGGATATCTCTATCAAATCAATTAAGATACAATCACCAACCAGAGAGAGAGAGAGAGAGAGAGAGAGAGAGATTTTTAAATCATCACTCTCACTGTTAAGGATGTTCATTCACTGTAATGATGATAAAGCCAGAGTTCATCTGCTTTAGTCCAGGGAATAGCTCAAGAAAAGAAGATTTGGATGCCATAGAAAATAGAATCTTCAATCCCAATTAGGGTTGGAAGAAGTTATACCATCAGTATTTAAAGACAATCAACTAGAAAGACACGATCGGACAAAAAACAATTTTTCCCTAGAATTCGGGATTAACCTTCTCAGTCTAAAAACATCAACACTAGAAGACAATAACTCATACTAATATCTGGAAAAAAGATACCGTTTCAGTTTAAAACATTTATAAAGCATTTCATGGTAGACTTGGCAATTTATAATTTAAAACTAGACTTGGAGTTTTAGATTAAAAAAGGAAAATTAAACTGCAACCAAGAGGATTATTTCCCAATCGTGTTATTAATCTGGCAGCAGAGACAGCCAGGCGGTTCATTTTATTCTCACCCATAATTCGATCCAGAATTATACTCATCAAGATAAAAAAAAAATTCACTGTATTTTCTACTCCCATTAAGATTTGCCTTCAATTTCATTTTCGCAATCGCAATTCTCACATTCAAAACAAAAAATTCAAAAATTTTCCACATTTTTCTCTTAAACGCATTGACATTTTTTTCCCAGCAATGATCAGATAAACAGCGAAATATCCAGTGTATACGAACCCAAATTTGCAGACCTCCCACCGAGCATTCCAGAAAATTCATCCACACAAAAATGAAAAGATCAAACAATTAAACACTGATATATTCATAAAAACAAAAATACGCATCTGGCCAAATAATTTTTACTTACCGACAGATCGTGGGAAGTTAGAACGAGTTAAAAACCTATCTTGTTCGGAGACTCACTACTACCCAAGATCGCGATTTGCTCTCTCTCTCGTCCGAGAGGGGTTTGAAGTTTTCGCACTAACGTGCCGCTCCAGGGACATTCGATTTGGTGGAACAATTACTGGGACGCTGGAAGTAAGGGTGGGGAGTTCGATTCCTGGAGTTAACACTGGGAGTCATATGGAGAGAAAGTCATTAGTGTGAACAAACGTCCAGTGAGGAGAGCTCTCTTTGCGGAAGGAGTCCAAATAAGTTGTGAGAACCTGGAAGCCAACAATGACACATCCTGCGATTTACCTCCCTGAGCTGATGAGGGGCCGGAAGTTTAGGGACAAGAATCTAGTCGGACGCAAGCCCGGACACCTTGTAAGTTTTCGCACTAACGCAAAATTTTCTTTATAATTTTTTACTCTAGCATGTTTGGTCAATTTACTTGTATCAGTAGAAAAGGCCCATACTGTTAACCCTTTTTACAATAAAATATTATTTATATAAATTCAAAACTTTTTTATACTATTCAACCACACATGTTTCAACAAATTATTATTTAAAAATTCATTCTTCCAAAAAAATAATTGTGGGCCAAAGTAATTCTTAAGGTTAATAATCGTTAGTCGTTAGTGAAAGTTAAAATTAAATAACTATCCGTTTAAAATTTAATGATTTAATTTAAAGAAAAAAAAAAGGAACCATTGTTTATGGCTAAACTCGTATTTGACGGGGAATAAAATTAAATTTTTATTAGATTTTGATAAATATTGAAAAAATGTATGATGGAAAAATTGTGAATTCTATGAAATATAAGATTAAAATTAATTGTTGACTTTAATTTAATTAAAATAATTCCTATCAAATTGGAGTTAAATATGAAAAAGAAAGGTAAGATAATACAATATGTAAAAAGAAATTAATTAAAAGTAATTTTGTCCCTTCTAGATTTTACCTAACAAGCAGTTTTAATGTTCTTTATTTATCATTTCCTAAATTTGATCTTAATTTCGTTCATTATTGTTGTTAATTATCGACTTTAGTTTTGGATGATTATCACATTTTTCGTTAAATGCATTACATATAATTTTAAACTTACCCGTGCATGCTGATCATTCCACAATTATTTTTAGAGGCATTTTTAATAGACTTTCAAATATTTAAAAAACAAAAACAATAAGAACTTAGAGTGTGTTTGATTGACATGGAAAATATCACCTAGAAAAGAAAATATTTTCCATCTTTTGTGGAAAATAAAAACCACCTCCACTCAAGAAAAATGTTTTCCTTAAAAATAAGGAAAATTAGGCATATTTTCAAAAGTTGAAAAATGTTTTCCATGGAAAAAAATAATAATCAAATACTTTAAGTAGGAATTTGGGTGAAAAATTGATATTTTTCATGAAAAATAAATGTAATCAAACGCAACCTTAAGAACTCTTTAATGCTAGCAAGGGTATTAAATAATTATATTCTAACTTTTCTTTTATGGCTATTCGCTAAAAAATTCATTATTCGTGTTATGTTTAAAAAAATAAAAAATAAAAATTGTTTTACTATTCATATTCTTTAATTAATCTAAATTTTCTTAAAATTCTAACATAGTTATACTCATCTTCTGCCTCCCTCAACTCATATAATCTCTATGTATCTCCTAACCCTCGTCAATTCCTCTCACAACGTCTCACAATTTATCAATTTGAAATATTGTAGATATTTAAAAAGCTCATACTTTAAGAAAGTTTGGTCTTCTGATATAAAAATAAATAAATAAATAAAAAGAAAAGAAAGCAAATAAAACTTAGGCTTGTTTGATTGGCATATTTTCCATGAAAATGTTATAATCGAGGAATTCGTTTTCTACTTTGGTTGTTTGGTACGAAAGTGGAAACGAAGTTCGAATTTTAAGATACAAACACTTAAATAATGTTTTTGGTCAATTTCATGGAAAATGCATTCATATTGTTTTGGTGAGTTTTTATTTTCCAACTTATATGGAATTGATTTATCTTTTCCACATTTGTAATCAAACGGACCCTTAAAATGGATAAATTAACGTAAGACAAAGGATTAAAAAAAAAAATCCTCTCTGGATACCAAGTTTTTACAAGAAGATCGCCTTCTAGGAATTATTCCACCACCATTGTTGTGTGCAATTAAGCTTTTGCTGGTCGAAATCTTCTATTTAAGATGGTGGTTTATATAACTCTTGATCCTAAACACTCAAATCTAGAAAATACTTGGTGTACGTCATCATTTACATATTCTTTTACATATTGACCTTATAGCAATAAATCTCCTTATGTAATGTAGGTTAATGGCAAAAAAGAATTTGTACGAATTTTTTTATTTGGTTAAATAAGATCTTGACTCACTCAAATCTCATCAAGCGTGTTGGATTGTGTGCCCATATAGTATATTTTGCTATGATAAAATAATAATTTATAATAAATAAATTGTAATTTTATTTATTTATTACATTTATACATTGAGCATTGAATTAAAGTGCCTATAATCAATTGTGATAACATAAGTCAAGTACTTACATTAAGAAATGCAGTGTGACGCGATTTATCTTTTAATCATAAATAATTTGTTTCTAATCAATGTATGAGAGTTGGCACATTGTATTGGAAAGTTATAGTGTAGATCGATTCTCTATTCAAATTTGTGATTTATCTTTATTACAAAAATAGTTAAATATGACACTAGTATACTTGGAATGTATAATGTAATGTCCCGAAATCTCATCAAATAGAATTTAATTTATGTGTTATATATTTTAATATTTTGAAAGTTTAGGGACAAAAATTATATATAAAGTAAATTTCAATTTTATCGGATGTTAAAATGTAGATGTTGACAGAGCGACAATAAATATATGAATATTTGGCTCATTGGATAGATTGTAATTAATCATGCATGTTAGACTAGAGAAAAAATTAATTTAGATTAGCAGTGCCCGAGTTATCAAAGTTGAAAGATATAGCTTTAAACTATATTTTAAATGATTATTTAACAAATTCAAAATTTATATATGGTTGATGTGTATGGAACTAGATTCTCAATAGGGTAGTGATTGATGTTTTATTAAGGCCTCGTTTGGAAGAGATTTTAAAAATTGATTTTTTGACCATTAGAAGAAAGAGGGGTCCACTTGTGAGATAAGAAGTCAAAAATTATCACTGAAAAAGTGAAATAACGGTCAAAAAATTAATTTTTTAGGATAAAAAATCTCTCCCAAACAGGCTGTAAAGAGAGGGGGGGGACAAGGAAATCACGTAAGAGAGAGAGAGAGCAACTTTATTGATTTTCCTTTCAATTTGTTGGAAGAGGCGCCACTACTACACGTTTCCCCAACTACTCCTCCACTTTGTTAGACTAGATCATTTGGTGATATATTTATATATGTATATCAAAAGAAGATATGCATAAATACTTGGTTGTAGGAGAGAAAAGTGTTGGAATCAAGTAAATTACATATTTTATACTTATGCAGTGTAAAAAGATTCTTACTTTGTACCCTAAAAATTTATGGATACTTATACATATGGTATTGGAATTTAAAATAGGAAGTCAATTTCAAATAATATAAATTCTTGAAGCAGCGAGAAAGATTTTGTAGAGTGATTTCTTTGGTTTTGTCTTCCAAAAATTAAAATGATCTAACAAGGTAGGATATCGAGGTGTAGTGTTTTAAGTCCCGTTTAATTATTATTTTTACATGTTAATGAATTTTGTACTCATGAAAGTTAAAGTTATGATATGAAATGCTATAATATGAATGATATGACCACTCCGGTACAATGATATGATATAATATAATATGAACTCTTATCGGATTTTAAAAATATGAGACTCTATGGTATTCTGATACATGTGTTTTAAATTATTATTCAGAATTGCACCATTAAAATTTTATATACTTCTGAGTATTCTTATGCACTCACCATTTTCCATACATCTCACAGGTTAAATCAGGTCGTGACGAAAAGTGGTGGTTCAATGGTGTGCTTGTGCCTCATTTTCGCTGGACGAAAATCTAAAGAATTTAGCACGTAATTTTATCTTTTTTAATTTTGTTGTTGTGGAAACTTATCTTGATAATGTATTCCTTGGGTGTTATTTTATGACAGTGAAATCAAAATGTTATTTTTACAACCACTTATGTTGAATAAAATGTGATATGCAAGGATGATTTTATCGGATGAATTATATATATTTTTTTATCACTTCAGTTGCACTTGCACATGTATATTATGTCCTCATCTCTCACACAAGCATGAGGTACTCATTAGATGCATACATATAAAATGGGCAAACAATACAATTGAATTAGCATTACTGTGCCAAACGACAACTTGATTAATAAATTGTTTTCTTTTATTTTATTTATGGAACCCATCACGATATTCAGCTGATCGATTAATTGAATAGAAGGCTTTTCAACAATATGAAAATACGACATTCGCTTGCCAATAATCCAACTTAAACTAAATAAAAGGAAGTTTTGGTAATGACTTGTCTTTATTTTATTGAAAATTTTGGGTCGTTACATATCAAATGAACCACATGTCAAGTTTATTATATAGCATAATTGTGCGGATAATTAAATCCACTTGATCGCTATATATTTCATCTAAATTCCTTGACATGATTATCTTTTCGTAATGTTAATGGTTCTTTAATTCATCAGTGGGTGCAATCAATTTAATTGGTCAAATATCTTATTGAATTGGGTGCTTTAAAACGAGCGAAGTAGAGAACATGAATTCGTGTCTAAAATCCTCACTCTGAAAAATGGTAGAGTTATTAGAGTATTTTCTGATGAATGGTTAAAACTTGAATTCAGTGTTATAAACATGACTAAACTTCGACATCTGTTATTTGTTCATAGGAATGTTGAAGAAAATGATATTTAAGTTAGTGAGAATAATTAGAATCGTTAAACAGTCATTTATTCTCGTAGTTAATTATTGAATCTCAAACCGGGGTAAAACACATATACGATATGTCAGAAGAAAGTATTAAAAATTTATTGACTTTTATGATCTTATATATTCCAAAAGTTCAATATTTTGCTTTTAATGAAAAAAGCGAAG